CCACTGGCCCAGGTCCTCCCAGAACAGGGCCGGACCGAGGGATAGCCTGGGGAAGGGAGAGGGATTGATTTGCCACCGTTGTCGCCGTTGTGGTTAGCAGCTGTGAGTGGTTTCTGGCTCACAGCCAGCCCAGGTGTGCGGGTTAGGGCCCTCCACTGGGTTTCCCAGGCTGCGACCTTCATGAAGCAGGTCAGCTACCTGTCTTCAAGGCACCATGGGGTGGCTTCAACTCATCAACCTTGGAGGTGGTCAATCAACTCATTGCCATTGAGTCAGTGATGACTCGCAGTGACCCTACAGGACAAGGTAAAACTGCACCTGTCGGTTTCTGAAGGTGTAACTCTTTATGGGAGTCGAACGCCTCCTCTTTCTCCCTTCGAGGGGCTGGTGGTTTGGAACTGCCCACTTGGTGGGCAGCTGGTAACCACTCCACCACCAGGGCTCCTGGTAGGGAAACCCAAATGTGACACCACCCACGGGAAGCAGTCGCCCATAATTTCCAAACCATTCCTTTCCAGTGTTCATAGTGATATAGAGGATGATGATCCTGCTGGCCACCAAACTATTAAACATATAACACAATTTAAGACTTTGTTAAAAATGCAAACGGTTACAGCCCCCGTATAGTGAAATTTCCCTTGATGCTGAATTGGCAGGATGTCCTGACTCAGGAAGAAGTAGGCAAGCGTGAGTGGGGGTGCAGGGGACCGGGGCGACTGGCGCCGGAGAAATGTAGGTGGACACGGTTTCCTAATGACCATTGCAAAACCGGCCTTCTCACAATATCAGTTATCTCCTGTGACCATTGTAAAACCTGCTAACCTCTTCCTGTGATCATTGTCACACAACAAAACCCAACACCAGTTTCTTGTCACATCGTCCAAGGTAAAGGAACTTGCTTGCTCAGGACTGAAAGCTGAAACAGCTCAGAGGAGACACCTGGCTGTACTGCTTCTGCAGGCGTGTGCGGAAGTCAGCCTAGCAGTTCTTGAATCAGCCTGGTCTCTGTGTTTGGCTAATACAGTGACGAGCTTCTCGGATCCTTGGCAGCCAAGAGAAGTCTCACTATTGAATCCTTCTTCTTGCTCTGCAATGGTTTCAAGACAAGTCCCCAAGCTCCCTCTCCCCAAATACACTAGCCTGGCCTTCTTAAATCTGGACTCTTTCCCCACCTCACCGCCTCACATCTGGTCCTGAGAGCAAGCCTTTTGTGGTTAAACCTAGACTCTCAAGGAGCGTTCAGTGAGCAGACCGCAGGAGGGATGGCCTTCCTCCCCCAGCTCCCAGAAATCCAGAGAGAGCCAGGACTGAGCAGGGGACTGGACTTGAACCTGAAGTGGACCACCCCTCTGTCTTCTAATTGCCCCTGCCCCATTATTGGACTCACCAAGACACAGAAGGGGGGTGGGCATAGGAGACATGGCGCAGCCCCAAGAGTCAGGCCTGTGCTGAAGCTGTTCGTGTTCAGGGTGCCGCAGCAAACACGGTGAGTTCGTGGGACTGGCCGAGACCCTGTCTTGGGTGTCTTCATCAATGCCCCTGTCAAAGGGAAGAGCTCCCTTCCCTCCACCCCAGTTATTTTTACTCTTCCTCCAAAAGAGGTAGTTGGTGGAAGGGCATGTGGGTCAGCTTAGCAACCGACAAATGCTTTATGGAGGAATGCTTCAAATGAAGCTGGGCTTGTTTTAAAAAAAAAAGCATTTTATTGGGGGCTCATACAACTCTTATCACAATCCGTACAAACATCCATTGAGTCAAGCACATTTGTACATTTGTTGTCCTCATCATTCTCAAAACATTTGCTTTCTACTTGAGCCTTTGGTATCAGCTCCTCATTTTTACCCCCCCTCCCCACCTCCACCTCCACACCCTGATCATGAACCCTTGATAATTTATAAATTATCATTATTTTGTCTTGTCTTACACTGTTCAACATCTCCCTTCACCCACTTTTCTGTTGTCGATCCCTCAGGGAGGGGTTATATGTAGATCCTTGTAATCAGTTCCCCCTTTCTACTCCACCTTCCCTCCACCCTCTCGGTTTCACCACTCTCACCACTGGTTCTGAAGGGGTCATCTGTCCTGGATTCCCTGTGTTTCCAGTTCCTATCTGTACCCGTGTACATCCTCTGGTCTAGCCAGATATGTTAGGTAGATTTGGGATCATGATAGTTGGCAGGGGTGTGAGAAGCATTTAAGAACTAGAGGAAAGATGTTATGTTTCATCAGTGCTACACTGTACCCTGACTGGCTCATCTCCCTGCAACCTTTCTGTAAGGGGATGTCCAGTGGCCTACAGATGGGCTTTGGGTCTCCATTCCACTCTCCCCCTCATTCACAATGATATGATTGTTTTTTCTTTGATTACCCGATACCCGATCCCATGGACACCTCGTGATCACACAGAATGGTGTGCTTCTTCCATGTGGGCTTTGTTGCCTCTCAGCTAGATGGCCGCTTGTTTATCATCAAGCCTTTAGGATCCCAGATGCTATATCTTTGACAGCCAGGCTCCATCAGCTTTCTTCACCACATTTGCTTATGCACCTGCTTTGTCTTCAGCGATCGATCGTGTCAGGGAAGCTGGGCTTCTTACATATCTAATCCTCTCTCTTTTCAACTCATTCTGAATCTATGGGGCCAGGTGGCACCCAGGTTATGAAATACTCTGATTGGAAGGTCAGTCCCAATTCCAGAAACGAATGACACTCTGTTCTCGGGCAAGATGCTATGCCATGTGGAGTCAACGTTCCTGCACATCAAAATCGGAACCGACAGAGCTCCTCTGAGCACTTCATCTTGCTGCAGTCCGTGGCTGCTGAGCCACTCGGTGCGCCATGAGCTCCCCAAGCGTAGAGCCAGGTTTCACAGGGTTTTCAAGGCTCTGACCTCTTGGAAGTAGACCACCAGGTCTGCCTTCCATGGTAGCCTGGGTGGGGCCAAAGCGCCGACCTTGTTAGCTAGTAGTCAAGCACATACCTGTCCATGCCGCTCAGGGACCCCCATCGGGTATTTATCACACGGAGCTTGTCTGACTGGTGGGAGAAAATTCAAAGAATCCACCAATAGATGAAAGACTAAGCAACATCTGATAGAGCCACGTAGAATGAGATCCTGCTCCAGCCCCAAGATCAATGGAGTTCTCCTGAATGTCGTCGTAGGGAGAGACCTTGAAGACGTGTTGTTGTTGTTGCTAATCGAGCTGACTCTGATTCATCTCACTGAGTGAAATGTTAGTCACAGAGGACAAGTACTGGGTGACCTCACTTATAGGAAAGAGGCAAAGAGATAGAAACCAAAGAATGTACGGGGTTTCGGAGGGTAGGAGGGATGGGGAAATGGGAAGGTCTGGATTAGAAGGCAGTGGTTTTATGCGCATGGTGGTGGGCTAACTTACGAAAGGAGAGTGATCATAGATGCACAACGTGAAGCGTGTAATCGGTGTCACTGAATTGGAC